AAAACAAAACGTAAACAAAAACTGGAATTTGCGCCATATGTCTGTTCAACCGTAATTCACCGCTGTCACATTAAGTGCACCCACACTTATTATATATCATTTTGTTCAGGAGAAACAGGGCTTTAATTTATCATTAACTATTCATATATGGAACATAATTTATTATGAATAAAATGTAAAAAAATGTGAGAAAATAAGATTTATTTTTTTTAATTTGTATTTCCGTCTGACATTTTAGCTGTGAATGTCATAATACTGTTAGGTTTTACTGCAAAAAAATGCACATATTTGTAATCAGCGATGTCTCACGAGTACAACAGTACCCCCCATTAACAGGTATTATTGTGTTTTGGAAAGTTACAGGGTCAAATATAGAACGTTCTATTTTCAAATTGAAATTTGCCAGATTAGTAATGTTACCTTTGAGAAGGTGTGGTAGCCCAGGAATAAGAATTACCCCCATAATGGCATACCATTTGAAAAAGTAGACAACCCAAGGTATTGAAAGTGGGGTATGTTTAGTCTTTTTTAGTAGCCACTTAGTAACAAACACTGGCCAAAGTTAGCGTTCATATTTGTTTTTGTGTGAAAAAAGCAAAAAAATAATATTTGGCCAGTGTTTGTGACTACTAAGAAAGACTGGACATACGCCACTTGCAATACCTTGGGTTGTCTACTTTAGCAAATGGTATGCCATCATGGGGGTAATTCTCATTCTTGGGCTACCATACGCTCTCAAAGGCAACATAACCAACCTGGTAAATTTAAATGTCAAAAAAATAAAATGCAAGCCTTATATGTGACTCTCTAACTTTCCAAAACACCATAAAACCTGTACATGGGGGTTACTGTTATTCTCGGGAGACTTCACTAAAGACAAATATAAGTGTTTTAAAACAGTAAAACATATTACAACAATAATATAGTCCATAAAAGTGCCGTACATTTGTAAAAAATGCAAAAAAGGTCACTTTTACTTAAAATATCATCCTTGTAATACAATTTACCAGTTTGAAACACTAATATTTGAGTTCAGCGAAGTCTCCTGAGTAAAACAGTACCCCCTATGTACAGTTTTTATGGTGTCTTGGAGAGTTACAGGGTCAAATATAGTGCTTGCAAATTAAATTCTCTGCACTTTCTCCCTGTGTTGTCAGGCATGTCAATCAAATTTTAATTAATCAAATCACATAATTATGTTAAAAGATTAATTAAATATACATGTAGAATTTTAATATATATGCATTAATAGGTATTTAAATTCTACGTGTATACTAATGTAATCTTTTATGTAATTAAATGTATTTATCTATATATATATTTGCGGTTATTTGTATTTTATATATAGATTGTCATTCTAAGTGTATTTTGTTACCAATATATATATATTAATATATAATTTATATTAAATTTTGTTTCAATATTTTATTTATTTATTTTGTTATTTTATTTATTTATTATTGTAATTATACGTATATATGTATAATATATGTGTATATATCTACTATATATGTATATTATAAATGTAACGTCATTCTAAGTGTATTTTAATACTAAAATATGTACTTATATTAATATTAATTGTATAAACTTGGAAAGTCCCGCACTCAATTTGCCGGTCTTGTGCTTGCCTCGGTGCTGCCTCAGCCGTAATGAATATCAATAAAAACGAGTGCACTCCAGAGGTCTTCTTTAGAAAAGATGCATTGGGTTTATTGCAAAACGTGTAGAATATACACAATAATCTAGTCGACGTTTCAGTCCACGAAGGACTTTTATCAAGACAGTGAAAAGCGGGAATTGTGAAAATTTAAATATGGTGAAACCAGATTCTGATTGGAGAGTAACCAGAGAAAGAAGTGATGTCATAGGTGAGATGTGAAAGTTGAAAGGGCATAGCCCCGAGATAAGTTGTGAACCAGTAAGATATAAACTGGTGAAAAAACATGAAAAAATAAAAATACAATACATAGACAACCGAGGTGGAACAAATCCAACAACTCAGGTGCCATATAAAAACCAGGATATACATAGAAGAACAGGAACGCCGCCCAAGGTACAGATCTACTAAATGTCTAAAAAACTACATATACAAACCAAATAACAACTAGGGAGGCTAAGTCCTGTAGAAGAATTTAGAGAGAAGGAATGTATAGTTATATACATAGTCACACAAGAGAGAAACAAAAAGTATCAAATTCTGATTACACAGGATAATAAACATATGTAACAAATAATAGTAATAAACATATGTAGCAAATCTATTAGAAAATCGAGCACATGCTAACATTATAATTTCAACCAAATAGCGGACAATATCATTATCTAGTTGAAATAAAACAATTCAGAGGGTTAATCTCATTCAATCCTCCTGGATGCATAGTTCCAAGTGTGAAGATCCAAAAAGCTTCCCTTTGGAGAAGAACTTATTTCTGTCACCTCCCCTTAAGGGGACCGGGACATGTTCAATACCCATAAATTTCAGAGTTGGCAAAGTGTGACCCTTATCAAGGAAATGTTTAGATATAGGAGTGGATGCAACACCACTCGATAATGCCATTCTAATCGTCGATCTATGTCCCCTCATTCGTTGCCGCAAATCATTTGAGGTTTTCCCAATATACATGAGACCACACGGGCATAGGATCCGATACACAACATGTGTAGTTGTGCAAGTAATTCATTGTCGTATCTTGTACTCTTTCCCTGAATGTGGATGAAAAAAAGATTTTCCAGGAGTCATGTTATTGCAAGCCATACATTTCAAACAGCGAAAACAGCCAGGGTTCTGATGTATAACATATCTTGATGCCAGTATATCAGTGTGTACCAAGTAATCTCTTAAATTCCTATTTCTCCTGTAACTGATCATCGGGATTTGTTGGAATATTCCTGGTAATGTCCTGTCTTTCTTAATTATCTCCCAATTATCCCGTACCTTTTTCGACAGATCTCGAGATTGTGAATGGAAAGTTTGAGGAAAAATTAATCTATTCGGTTTGTTCTTGGTAATAGGACCATCGGTATATAAATGTAATGCCTTGGAATATGCTTTTTCCAAAGTATACCTAGAATATCCCCTCTGGGTAAATTTTTCAAACATTTCCTGTACCTGTAACGCAGCTTTGTTGGAGTCCGAATTATTTCTCAATACCCTCACAAATTGTGACACCGGGAGGGATTTTATCAAATTTGCCAACTCTGAAATTTATGGGTATTGAACATGTCCCGGTCCCCTTGAGGGGAGGTGACAGAAATA